ACTTACTTACTTACTTACTTACTTACTTACTTACAAAAAAAAAAAAAAAAAAAAATGGAAAAATTCACTTTCTTTCGCACTCTTTTTCTTTCTTTCTTTCTTTTTCGTGGGAGAAAAAAAAAAACTGGATTTTTCTGTGGGGCACGATCGTGTCTTGGGAGAGATTCTTTTTTTTTTATTCTTCGTCGATAAATTGAAATTATCGATTACAGACAGGTGGTGTGTTTGGAGGAAGTTCATTCGTCAAGAGTAATTCGCTAGTATATCGTGGATCCCACGGTCGAGGAAGAAATTGAAACGTACACTTTCATTGTCTCTCTTTCTTTCTTTTTGAAGAGGAAATATGTGAGCATGATCCTGTTTTCTTCGCGCGTAGATTTTTTTCCCTGTGGTCGAAACGTACGTACGTTCGAGGGAATTTCATTCGTGAGAAGGAATTCACGAGTGTGCATGTTAGTGAGATCTTTCTAGTCTCTTTTTTATCGAGCCGAATACTACGTGCGCCCCATTGACTGGCCGTTGTCGTATCGAAACAGTGAAAGCAGAGAAAGCACGTATGTACGTGCCATTTTTTTTTTCCTCTTTCGTTGCGATCAACAGCGTCCAGTCGTTCGTATTCTTCGCGACGTATTGATGAATTACAGTTTCGCCTTGTGTATGGCCTTGATTATATTAACGCTCGATCATAACCCGGACTGCATGAAATGTCCTCTGAATGAGTGGCAACGAGCTGATTGATCGGGATAGCTCTGCAGAATACTTTAACACATTTGAAAAACCGATGATGCAACCACTGCGACGTTTAGTATCTCTGCTTAGTAGCCAAAGATACAACATCATTTGCATTATCGATTCAGTTTTTCCAAAATCCATTCATTTCAAATATGTTAATCTCTGAAGAAACAGCAATAGAAATTTCATAGCGCAGAATGCGAATAATATGGAAAAATATTACAAAGTGTTCATATTCCAATTGTATTCTCAAAAATATAAATTTGCAGAAAAAGAAAAAAAAATCCGCAATTTAGACACGAGCAGAAGAACGTTGTTTAATAAATAAACGATGAACAAAACCAGATAGATAAACTCGGTGGCGAGTTTTAATGTTCGCCTTAACGTGCTCGATAAATGGAAAAAGACCCAGAAGAAGAATATTAAGTAAGGCGAGTTTATCGGGGAATCAAGCCGGTCACGTTCGACGCGCGGAAAAGATAAAAAGTTTCAAAGAAGTCGATGAGAGACTGATTTTTATTCGCCCCGGCGCACACACGTACTTACATACACCGGTTACGCAAACCTGTTTGATTCTGTCTGAGAAACGAACGCTCACCGCTTCCGAGGGTGAGAACTTGCGACGGCTAGGGGCGGGAAAAGGAAAAAAAAGGAGCACGCCAAGCCAACGGAGTTGGCTAGGGCACAACAGGTTTCCGTCTCTTATACCTTTAACTCCGAGATTTTTCCTTTCGGTCATTTATTTCGTGCCCCGAAGGGGATTACACGTGCACCGCGTAACACCGTTAAAATAACTGAATTAAAGTCTGCTAATCGTGTAAAAACGCGTTAAATGGTGGCTCCCGTTTATTCAGTGATAAGAAATCGCCACGACGACGGATTCTTTCATCTTCGAGGAAATGGAAGAGATGCTTTGAAATTCATCAACGAAATTATACATGCACAATTAGTGTGAATAAATACATTTAGAGAAGACCAAATGAATTTTGATAAGTTTGGTATGAATAAAGTGTAACCCAAAATGGGAGAACGAGTTCAGTATTTGAAGAAATTAAAGACTTCAAAGTTTACATCTTTTTGTTTCCCTTTTTCTTCATTATTGAATTGTTTTTATTACATACTACTAATATAAATATTAATTTCTCAAGATGGATTTATTGAAGGGAAGTGAACCTTGCCCGTATTAAAATAAGTTAAACAAAAAAATTTGCAAAAATAAAAAAGAGAAGCATTTCGTTAAAAATATAGTTCTTCATTTTTGCAACTGCTTTTGCATAATTTATTTTAATAACATCCAGATAGAGACAAGTATATTAATTTCGTGTCACCTAAAAACAAAATTTAAATCAACGGGCTTCCTGAAAAGAGTGTCCATGAAACAAAATAACAAATTGACTAGACTAGTCAATTTAGTGTTTCAGCCGATTCTCTGCCCTAAGAGGGAAAAGATTTCTTTTTATCACGAAAAAAATTTTAGCCAATTTTTCGTGATAGAAGGAGAAGAAGAAAAAGACTATAATAGGGTGTTCATAATGTAAAAATGCACTGATCTGATTTATTTATGAAGTTCAAAAGTGATTTTATGAGGCAATCGAATAAGCACAAATGCTGTCAAATGTTCGATTGCAAATCGAAAGCCGTTACGTATTGCGTGGCTCTTTGTTAAAATTATTTCATAACTTGTCAAGGGAAACGAATCTAATAGCGTATATCGAATCAAAATTTGGTACGTTTTACATGATGTTGATACAAATAAATGAATTAGCATCGCTCATTGTGATGCTTTTACTGAATTAAACTCTCGTTATTTCGAATACAATATCATTTCATGCAGTGTTTGCAGTTTAAATAAACTAACAGAAAGCGTCAGCGCGCGATACTGGTTGTTTAAAAAAATACGATTGACATTATACTGAATACGATATTATACTTAAGAATGTACGATAAGACTAATGAAAATAATTGTTTAAAAAGTGCAATTTCTTTCTTTCGACAAGAATAATAATTCAGTACACTGAATAATAGATGATAGTCAATCACACTATTAATAATTCTTAAACGATTATACGTTTGTATTCATTTCTTCTTTTAGTAATAACTAGACTGCTGATGTTTATATTGATGTTTAGGTGTGGAAAATTTTGAGATATGTAAATATCAAATATACAAAAAAAACTATTATGACATTTATCACTGCGAACGTCGAACCAAATTTCTATACGTAGATTCTATTTTTCTAATCGTGTTCACGAAAATATAAATTTGCACAAACCTCAGTAGTCTATTAATAACAGCGAAACAATATCTTGTACACTGGCGGAAGCATATTTAGAAACATTAGAAATAAAGAAAAAAATAAAAAATGTGGAAATGATAGAAATATCGTGAAAACACGCATCACGAATTTCTTTGTTCTCGCTGCACTTGGCGAAAATTATTAAATTACTTCTTTTCATCGATGAAGAATTGTTCTAAAAATATCTTTCGTCTTTAGAATTTCGGAACATTATTCAAAGAAGTGATGCGAACGCAATTTCAATATGTAAGACTATTGTTGCCTATAATTGTTGCAGGTTAAATAATTCATGCAATTATACTAATTGACTTGTTTTCGATTTCTTCGATCATGGCATACGAACGTGTTTTTAATGTTCGATCAATATTAATTTAAATAAATTTAAATAAGTTGCAATAATCAATTTTAAATAAGAAAATTAATAATTACTAATAGCTCAGTTTTAGGATGTAAATTTGAAGTACGAATAGAATATTTAAAGTAAACCATTGCATTGAACTTTTATAAAATTGAAGAAAATACAATGTATAATTACTTTATGCTTCGTTCAACATTTTATCAAATAACGTAATAAATAGTAATTTGTTTCGAAAATTAATGAATGATCAGTGAAATAAATAAACTTTCACAGTTTATTTTAGAAATAATAGATTAATAATTTTAATTATATGTAATTGATCATTGTTCTTCGTATGATTGCTTTCCTATAATGAAACGATCATTACACACTTAGATTATAGCACGTAATTATCAACGAAATTGACGAATGTAGTATCGTATTAAATTCATCGAATTTTCCATAATTATGTTTTGCATAATCTCTAGTACCTATCAAGAGGTACACTGATTACTAGTTGAAAGGAAGCTAAACGATTATGACTGTATTTTCAATGCATACAGATGTTATCATAGTCTCTTTACTGTATTCATTAATACATAGAATATTTTGTAATGTTTTATAAGAATAGTTGTAGTTTCCTCTTGTTAAAGAGCAATGTAAAATATTTTCTAAAACATGGATTCGAATATAGATATAGAATATCTCCTAAAATTTTTGTACAGATCAAATATTTTTGCATAATATAAAATAAAATCAAATAAATTTTAGTAATCTAATATAAATTACTACAGTAATAACCCAACGATACTTTGTATTCAAGAGTTGACAATAGTTCATTTGCTAATTGCTAATAGCTATTTGCTAACTATTTGTTCACTTGTTTCACTTGTTCACGTGATAGATAATGCAAACGCAATTGTTCCAATACGCATAAATTTGCAATTTTATTTTCCGCACAATGTCTTTCATGTAATAGAAACGTGTTATAATTATTTTTATCCTACATTATACTTCATTTAATAACAACGCTATTCAGTCATTTCGTTTATAAACGGGCTCTGTATCTCACATGAGCGCATTGAAACGAGATCAAGTTCAACATGAAGATACTCGATTTGGCTGCTTTCTTATTCCTTTATGTCGCTACCGGTAAATATAATTATTCATAATTTCATTATCCGAGGAAAAAGACTCAGTCCATGTTTCTCTTCGTATCCGTAAATCTTCAGAGTTTAATAGAATTATTCGTAAATTCTCGTTGTTCCCTGAAGGAATTCTTCATTTTCTTAATCCTTCGAGATTTTACTTTTTTCTTTCTTCATTTATGAAATTAAATATTGAATTTGTAATATTTGATTTTATTTGACTGCGGAATTTTTCATAATTTCTGCAAATGACTGAAACGTTTAAAACAGAATTTGTTATATTTATTAAATGAAACTAATCATTGCACGTGTTCTCAATTTCCATAGATGCATAAATATCTGTGGCCTATTTATTAAGTCATCCCATAAGTAATGTGTCGTTGGTTTTCTATATAAAAAAAATTATTTCTTACCAACTGATTAGTAATAAATTTCCTTATATTCTGCTTAAATAATTCTTCACTTTTTCTATTAATTTTTTTGTTCCAATTTTGTAAAATTCTAATAATAAATGAAAAAATTTCTCTAGTTTCAACTGTATCGCATTTATTTTATGTTTATGATTTCGTATATGTTATTTACAGTTCGCGGCAACTTCAGAACGATTCAGAACGGTATCTTAAATATAGGCGAACATGTATTTGAAGCACTCGATTACGGCGCTGAAGCTTTGAATGACAGATATATAATCGGTCCTAATGGTATTCCTATTAGAATAGACACAGAAGAATTGTTATTTCCAACGCTGGGAGAAACTCAGAAAAACCTCCCCAACACTGTTTTTTTCTATCTATATACAAGAAACAATCCAACAAACTCTCAACGATTGAACGTGGGCGACGAAAATACTTTGCGAAATAGCAACTTCAATGTATCGAAGAATACCTTAATTTATGCCCATGGATGGATGGCTAATTACACATCAGCAGCAGGACTTCGCAATGGTATGCGTTTATTTATTGAAAAAAATCAAATTTCTTTAATCTTATTTGAAAGAAATTTGAAAGAAATTGAACATAAGAGAATCACTTACTTAAAAATTTTCAAAATATCAGTTATTCTGATGGTTTCATATAAAATTCATTTAGCTTTATTGTTCACTTTGAAGATATAATACATTTTTGTACGTAGCAAGTCATTTTTTTTCGTTCAATATAAAATTTACGTCGTTATTAAAATTCACGGTGTTTGATTACATCCCACGTAATAAAATCAAGTTCAATTAAAAATTTCCAAATTGTTTCCAATTAATTTGTATTCTTTTTACCGCAAAGTGATATAAAAACTACCATCATCAATAATACATGGTAATAACTTTGCAAATTTGTAATACTTTTCTTGTTTTACAGCTATTCTTAAAAACTGTGACTGCAATGTCATACTACTTGACTGGGGGGCCATAGCGGGAAAACCATACGTATGGTCTAGCGATCGTGCTGGGATAATCTCCCAGTACGTCGCCCAGATGATTGACTTTCTACATGCGGAAGGAATGGATGTATCTAGATTGACCATAGTTGGCCATTCTCTTGGCGCACATATAGCTGGATTATCGTCCTACTACGCGAAGAACAAAGCGAATTTTATTGTCGGTATGTAGTATGACCGATGCAGTGTCACCATCTGCTTTTTTTTCATTTTCATAATTTTTTCTTATTTTCGTGTGTTATGCCATTCGTGGAATATGGAAATTTTTGAATTGTTGTTACCAAAAATTATTTGCTTTTAATTACCATTTAATTATCAATTTTGAACGATAGGAGTTCATATTATAAAAAGAATCGTTCAAAGTTGGTAACTGCGGAAGAATGAATATTCTCATTTTCTACTCTGTATGATCATCAAGAAGATCGTGAAGCAGAAAGTTTTCAATCAAATTTTATCCTTCTCTAAACATTATGAATTGTAAAAAAAAAAAGAAAATATATTAAATAAAAATATTTCAAGGGAAAGTTTCTTATAATCTCTTTTGAAAAATTGTTATTCTGATTGTGATTATTTTGATTGCAGGTTTGGATCCAGCTCAGCCCAACTTCCTTCGTGCTGGTGCAGGAATCAGATTGTCTTCTGGAGACGGAAACTACGTACAAGTTCTCCATACCAATGCCGGTGCGGCTGGATTTAACATGTCTTTGGGTGACATTGATTTTTGGGCAAATAATGGTCAGACTCAAAATGGTTGCGACTCCGTGAACGTATTTGGCATAATTAATTGTTCACATGGTAGGGCTGTCGACTATTACATGGAATCTCTTAATAGTAGAGTAGAATTTATAGGGAGAGAATGCGACAATTATAACGATTTTACACGAGGAAACTGCGCGAATAACCCTACAGCTGTTATGGGTGGCGTTACTCCGCAGACTAATCTCAAAGGTAATTTTTATTTCACCACGAACATGAGCCCGCCGTATGCTAGAGGTGCCGAATAAATCGAAATATGTTTCTGTTTAAAAATCAATGGACGGTCATTCAAAACGAGATATGAACCTTTATGTTTTTACGCTGTGCACACCTTCCCTCTATTGTAAAATTTTTTAGATATTTCAAAAAGCGTGCAAAATTTTTGGAAAACGTAGGATTTTCATTGTAATTGTAAAAATGGAGGGTTTTTTTTGACAAACCTTCACATTCAATTGTATTTCGTAATTTAGAAGAGAAATAAAGAGCAATAAGTAAACGTTTCGTTAAATATTTTTTTGCAGAAATAGCTATGATACTTCGCTCCCTAATAAATAAAATCCAATAAATAAAAATGATTATGATAATAAATGGTGTCAGTATTGTTAATAATTTGTAATTTGATCTAATGAGTTTTTAAATTACATTTCTCTTGTTAGAATATCTTACGGATTCATATTTTCATGAACAAATTTCGAGAAACGAAATCTATATGGAAATTTGTTTCACACTCTGAATGCTCTAACAAATACCGATTATGTGAAGTCGGTGGACAAATAAGAGTTCACTGACTCTCTATTAGCAATTTTTCATATAATAGGAGTTCATGTTCGAATAAATAAATTCAGCAAGTAAGTGTTTCCTTGATCGGCTGAATTGAAATAAATAAGTTTAACAATAAATTAAAATAAATTTAATTCGCATAAACGGAGTTCTGCTCTGTATTATACGAATTTTGTATCTTCATCCAAATTTAAATTTCTCATACATTTTTTAATTACGTCAAATATAATTATAATTACGTTCAGCTATAAGATTTTGATATTTTACACTGAACTGATTCTAATAACTTCACTGGATCTAAATAGCTTTGTATATTTCTGAACTTTGTTCGAACAATTTTAAACGTTTCTTTCGGATAAACAAGACGCTACCCCACGCGGATACCACGGTTAATGTGTTAATTAGGAAGCTTTGTGAATGATCAGATGGAAGGACGAACGTCGTTAAAGTTGTTCGAGTTTCGAGTCAATGGTCCGTTTGAAAAGAAGGGATAAAAAGCGGCCTCTCGTGAACGTGAAACTCCTCGGGTGAACAGGGGTGCGGAATGACAATGAACATACCTGAAACACTAACACGGAGTGAAACATTATCCTGCTATGGGATGTCCCAAACAGGAATGCACCTGATGCCGTTTCAAAAAAATCCTGGCTCCGGCTACAAAGTCCTTTGCGGATCTGGGTAGCATGAAAAAAGAACCACCTTTCAAAGCCATTCCCCCTTCCGAAAAAAGTCTTTTGTTCGCGTTATTAGAAAGGTAAATTATCGCCGGCAATTGTGCTTCGATTCGTTTCGTTGCTATAATGTCAATGAAGAAGTTAATCGAGGCGTTCGTTAAAGGTAAATAATATTTTAATGAAATTACTAAGAAGATTGGAGACCCGTAGATTATTGGTTTCTAATTGTTAACTGTTGATATTTATATTATTTTGTACATAATATTTTTCACAACTGAAGAAAGTGGACTCTGAATAATGAATATCGAATTAGAGCTAAAAGTTTGCTTCGATTATTGGATAATATAACAAGTGCTCAATTTTAAATCCTACTAACATTAGACTAATATTTAGTAGATTTCTGGGACCTTAAATTTTCCAAAAATATTTAAATATCCGTCTATTCTTTAAATATAGAATAATATCAGTCTATTCTTTAAATATAGAATAAACAGTATTTAACATAAAATAATAAAAAAGTGATATCTTAGTTTTATTCAAAGCAAATCAATTCTTTCAAAGTCGTACGATTTTTTTTAATAACCCTCACAAAATCTTCGCTTATAAATCATCCTTCCCTTTATTTATATATTTCTAAACCTGTCGTAAAAGTTAAGTATCGGGTGAATGTTAGAAATCAAGTGTATTCTTGTCTAGGGCACACTGGTATAGATATCCGGTTTGATACGTTCAATGAAAGACTATTTCAGGTGAAGGTGTTCCGGTTTGGGATGTATTTTGACCCAGCTGTCACATTAAGACTTCAATTGCAAATTTTAACCTGTTGAATGAATTTCAGATTATACTACTGATCATTTCTCTGTTCTATCCTTTTGCATCAAATTTATTATTATTAAATTTCAAATCCCATTAAAATCCCACCTCGACTGTGCTCGACAAAATAAATTTTAAGTCTCGATTCTAAATGTGAAAAGTAAAGAATATTTAGATTTTATAAACTCTACGGACAACGAAGTGATTATATTAAGGTATTACCGATCATAGTATAATTGAATCTCTCTTGACGTGCCTTATTCGATCCTAATTTGATCTTAATATCATAATTAACAAACATGATATAGTAATTTTTATTTTCTTTTTTTTTTTTTTTTTTGCCGACATATTTTTCACAAACTCGTCAATTTTCGCGACAAATCGCTATAGAGTAAAAATCGTTATTCCGTCAGGTGCGATTCAGTTAAACACGAAGTTATTTAAAGCGACAGCCAAGTGACAAGCATATCCGCCACATCAAAGTAAATTCTCGATCTCCTTTACTAGCAATAAGCGTACGATTATCAGCTTAGATCTAATCTAGCGAGATTCTTAATCGAATGCTAAGCAACACCTGCGTCGTTCGCATAATATCGGTGGAAGCCGAAGACGTGTCTGTGTAACCGTACATACACAGATATATATATATATATAGTAGAACGAAGTAATGCATCTGGATTCGGTAAAAATTGCTTATCGATCAGCCTTCTGTTCAATTTTCGAGTGGTCACTTTACTGGGAAGCAATTAATGTTATTTTCTGTTCTAAACTATCTATCACTAGCAGTTGGTTTTTCAATTGATCGATTCGGAGGCAATCGGATCGTTCGGCAATCTAATTCCCTTTGCCGTGAATATTAAAACTTGCTCGCGTTGCCAGTAAGTAATTCAGCGGTTGTCTCTCCATCGCTTCCAGATTATCTTGTAAACGATTCTTTAATTCGATTAAACGCTACTGCCGTACGTTTCAGTCCTTTCGTTCGATAATCGTAGTTTATTGTGTTTCATTTTATCGCAGAGAAGAGTGCAAATGAAATGAATTTTATTTCAAACGGAATTATTTGAATTAATGCTATGTATTACTAGTGTAAGATGAAATTTTGCCTTAGTATAAATATTGTAAGATATTTATCGAGAATGTACATTTAAATAATGGTTCTGACAATATATTGGACAATATTTTAATATACATGGCGGCGAATGGGCCAGATTTTACTTTCTGTTTTATGTTTTTTTTTTTTTTTTTTTTTTTTTTTTTTATAAACCCAAAAACAAATTTTTTTTTTTTTTTTTTTTTTTTTTAAAAATTTTTAATTCTGTAAATTGATTTATTATGTAATAATAATCAATGGAGATTTACGAATGTTATTATTATTATATTTTTATTAATATATATTTATTTTATATGAGGTACAAATAATGTCAAAAATTTATTAACATAAAAATACTTTTGTGATCGCTAACGAAACATATAGTTGCGCTAAATGTTTTCAAATTATGATATATTTTCAGATTTTCAGATCAGAATATTATCAATACTCTCGTCGCGATGAAATTCTGTACTGTACGTGTAATTATATTCACGATATAACGCATAATATAATTTATAAACGGTTCCAACAATTATCCCAATATTTTCACGAGCCACCGTATTTCCGTTCGCGTGACAATTAGTAGAACGAACGAGTCGTCTGATCGAATCGTCTCGAACTGTCGGCCATCGGGAAACGAATCTACCGCCGGTGGACATTTTATAGAATTTCAGCCATATTTGCGTTGCACTTGTGCACATTGCCAAGTGAAAATTGCCGGCCGGTGGAAATTGTCTTCCTACGCGCGGAAATCGCGGCCTAAAGAACTCGGTGCTGCGTCGGTGCCAGTAATTCTTGTCACCTGGCCGCCACGTGGATCCGGTTGGCCGGTCAAGATTAAAATCCGAAATTGACGCCCAGGGAGAAATTAAAGTTGTAAAGTTTCTGGTATCTATCAACGCGGCCGGGCTCTATATATCAACGAACACGGTCTCTTTCGTTTCGGCCATCAAACTATTGGCCGTGCTTGCCTCGTTCGCACCCTCGCAGAAAGTGGACAATTTTTTCCCGACTGCTAGTCCTCCGACTGGTCATTTATTTTTCTCAGAAAATTGATGCCGAACGAGATCTCGCTTCCGCACCTCTCGTTCTCTCTCTTTCTCTCTCTCTCTCTCTCTCTCTCGCTCTCCCCTGTCACTGGAAAATTCTTCTACGCTAACTTCACGCACCGAGAATTAAAATTTCTCAATTCAGCCTGCTCGTTTTCCAGCTTTCTTCGTTAATCCCGGTGGATGAGAAATAATATGGACGTGCATGTTCTTGAAGGATTTTTTTCCACGGCGTTCACTGATATTTCAGAATCAGAAATTGATATTTATGTACTTTCTGTCTGTAATGAAATTAATTTTAGATCTCGTTTACAATCAGTGTAATTGCAAATTAAACATAAAACTCAATAGGTGTAAAAAGCAGATTAATTTATATTAATTTAGAATATTAATATTAATCAATTAAACAAATTCTATGTAATTTATAGCAGCTTTTATCTGTAACTGTTTTTCAAGTTTTACTTACACTTCATAGAAAAAAATGTAACTTCCTACAGTCTTAAACTGTTTTTTTTTTAGTTACTCTGTATATATAAACGTGTCATAATTAATATTGTGTGATATCAGTAATGCTGAAATTTTATTAAATTTTAATAAATACATGTAAGTCCTAACAAGAAAGAAATTTCTAGGAATCAAGGTTGTAAGAAGAAAGAAAGCCAAATCCTGAGAAGAAGAGAAGCACGGAAAAAAAAGAGTAACACGTTTAATTAACGAGAAAGTAAGGTACATGTGTGTTTTATTTTATGTGTGTGTGTGTGTGGGTATAGTAACCCTTCGACGTATATTTAATAACCACTCCTCGTTTTTTATACCCTTGCGGAAACTCGTTTCGTGACCACTTCTAACCGTGAGAAACCAGGTCGAGAAGGGACTGAAAAACCTACTTTCTCGAAGGATATTTTTATCACGTGTATTCGGTTATACTGCCCTCCTTATTTAACTCTCTATAACCTATAACAGAGTGTAACTTGAAAGTTTCATACCCATGTATCCACATTTTGAAAATTAATTAACAGTAATATTTAACTTAATATTATTAGTCGCTAGACTTTAAATTTAAATAAATAACTATATATACATTGTTAAT